TATAAAGACCCCAAAATAAGGGATCCCGGATCCCTTATTTTCGGAAACTCCCATTCCTGTCCCGGATTATCTCAAGCTGTAAAGGGCTGGCTGGCAGGGCTCTCTGCGGACTCTTCGGTTGTCGTATCGGATGGGTCGCCGGCATCGTCCTAGCCAGGCAATACGGGTGTTATGAGAGTTTAAGAGGGGTTATAGAAGGGTTCCATGTTGCTCTATGGAGTGCACGGGGTTTCTCTGGTCTCTTTGTTGATCCTGGGGCTTCAAGGGTTAGGGTGCCAGGGTTCAGGGTCGATTTTGGTGTTTGGGGTCTTTTGGATCCCTGTGGCGGTTATTCCTACCGCTTGATAGTACCTGAAGGAGCTTGATATAGGAGCCTTAAGAATTTTTGTAAGTTTTTGGAGTATCTTCTACGAGAGTTATACTAAGGAACCCCCAAAACAAGTAGTGGTAGCCAAAAGTAAAGACATGTTCATGGATGCTTGGCAGGCTCCTGACAGCCTGTAACTCTACTTGCAACCAAAACCCTTCCAGCTTTTGGCCCTAAATCTCCAAACGGTGAATAACCCCCCCCGTAACTCCCGAGGGTTTAGGGTTTAGGGTTTAGGGTTTAGACAATACTTGGAGGATCAGGGGACTTAGTACCTAGTGTTATATGCGAGGTGCCTACAGACAGAACTACTGACTTGTGACCCCCCATCAAGGTACTCCCAACCTCACTCACAAATCCCCGTGATCCTTCAAGTACCCTACACCCAAATCCCTTATTTTACCCTATAGATGGATCCCTTAAACGGACCCTTATAACTTCACTCGCAAATCCCTGTGATCCTTCAAGTGCCCTTATAAAGCCAGCCTTACGAAACCATGGGATCCGCCGAGCAATCCCACCAGAACGCTCACAAGACCCCAGTTTAGGGCCTGACGCTTTCAGGGGTTTAAGGCTTTAGGATTTAAATGGTTTAGCCAGATAAATGCCAATACTAGATTGGGGATTCCTCCTTAGTATAGTTATATTATAATAGAGTCATCCATAATGAGGAATATACCATAATTCCTATAGTTTAGGGTCCTTAAGGTAATGCAGGATTTATATCATCAACCGGACACCACAAAACATTTATATCACAGGCCGCCCAATCCCGGGGATTCTTCAGGACTTCGCATCTTTGCATCCTTGTACTTCTTCTTGTTGATTTCGGAAATCTTGCTGCTGAAGGCACCATAATCCGCGAATACGACAGCTGGATAGTACTTCTGGTACTCATCCTTCTCGTCCTTGTAGCGTTCGCAGACGATGTTCCGCAACGGGTAGTATCTCCGGATTCTTTCCTTTGGCACCAATACTGTGAGTGCTGGCTCCCACAATTCGGACACCATTTCTTTGAGTGGGCATTCACTCTTCCAGTGGCCTTCTGACCAGCATATGGAGCACATATTCTTGTTTGGGGGCAAATTTCCCCGAACCGTGTACGGAACTCCAAACCTATTGGTTTTCTCCATCTTTCCCCTTCCGATAGGGTAGCAGTGCCATTCATCCACCGCCTTACTTTTTCCTTTAACTTCGTGACTTTTCCAGACCAGTCTGATACTGTAGTCCCGTTCGAGGGAGTCGTTGATCTCCTGGAATGCTCGGGTTGATCGTAGTTGCCACGCAAATCTTGTTGTCGGATACAGATCTCCATCTACATTCGTTGCAAACCCACGGTGCGCCAGGTCCAGCAGTTCCTTTCGCACCTTCTCCTGCCATTCAGGCGAGAATGGGTAGTAGGTACATTCCAAGTACTTCTCATCCGACCCGATCGTTCTTCCAACCTTCCAGGTCTCTTCGTAGGTCTTTTCAAGCCATTCCTTTCCTGGTTCTTCTTCAGCTGGCTGTTCTCGAGCTTGGGCAGGTCCATACTTCTTCCCAGACTTACTAAGCTCTTCATCCTTCTGGGCCTTTCCTTTCTTGAGCTTGTCTTGGAGTACA